TTCTTGGTTTGGAAATTGCTCGATCTTCCAAAGACATTCTTCTAAATCAAAGGAAATTTGCATTAGATCTTTTAACTGACTATTGTTTCTTTGGAGCAGAACCCTGTGATTCTCCTTCTGTTCCTGGTTCCAAGCTTTCAGCTAGGTCTGGAACTTAACTCACAGATCCTTCTGTTTATAAACATTTAGTAGGTAGGTTACTTTATCTTTGTAACACTCGCCCTGACTTAGCTTATGCTGTCCACCAGCTAAGCCAATTTACACATTCTCCTACTGATCAACATATGCAGGCAGTTGAACGAGTACTTTATTACATTAAAGGTACAGTTGGACAAGGTTTGCTCTTTTCCTCTGCATCTGAACTTAAACTACATTCTTTTTGTGACAGTGACTGGGCGGGTTGTCCAGATACAAGACGCTCTACCACAGGGTTTTGTGTTCTACTGGGTAATTCCCTGATCAGCTGGAGATCAAAGAAACAGAAGACTGTTTCTCAATCCTCTGCTGAGGCAGAATATAGGGCAATGGCCAGTTTAACTTATGAATTGATATGGCTTAGATACATTCTTCATGATCTGCATATAACCCTTCCTGCACCTACTCCAATTTTTTGTGATAGCTTGTCTGCCATAAAACTAGCTCATAATCCGGTAAATCATGAACGCACCAAACATATAGAAATAGATTGTCATGTTATTAGACCATCTTTAATGCATGGTTCTAAAGTTTCAAATTTTGGGGCTAGAATTCTAAGAATTCTAGCCCTTCAAAAAGTGTTTTTGCATTAGTGCAAAGTTCCAAAAGTCCAAAAGTTCAGAATTTGACATTAACTCATATTTCGGTTAATGTAGATTTTATTATTCTAATTATAAAATTTGTTCATTATTTTTAGATAGGTACTAATAATTTATTAAGACGAACATTTCGATAATTTTTTTTTAATTTGAACATAAAATTTCATCATTAAATTTCCTACCCATCTTAATTAGCACAACTTTTGTTAATTTTTGCTTATCCCCAATTAACTAAAATACAATCATTCTTGTTCAATTAACATGTACAAATTAAATAGGTTTGAGGTTCTTGTTTTTATATGGTGAAGTGAGAACGAAGAGGCAATTAAAAAATTTACAAATTAAGAGAGCTACCAATTAAACCCATGCATGGGCGGCAGTGGCAGCCACGCACAAGAAGAAACCTACACCGGCTACGCGTGCATCTCATCTCCCTTGTTGGCGCGCATCACTCGTTCCCTGTCTTTTGGATCCCACAATTTTAGAACCCTTTGTCTTTTTGTGGTTCAAATTTGGAACCAAAATTTGGATTAATCCAAATATTTGGACTTTTAAAACCACACTAAAGTGCATTCGTTATAAATCTTTGGAATTTTGGCCCTTCACTAAAGTTGGTCTTAGGGACCAGATTTTGAATAATATCATCAAAGTAATGCATGTAACTTCTACAAATCAGCTTGCTGGCATTTTTACCAAGTCTCTCTTAGTACATGTGTTTCAGCATTTGCAGGCCTAGCTGGGTCGTTTGGACATATACTCACCAGCTTGCGGGGGGACTTGTCCGAGATCAAGGAAGCGAGGACATAGTTGTAGATATTTTGTTGTTTATATTGTTAACTGAAAACTTGTATAATGTAGGTAGTAACTAGGATATTAGTGACAACTATATATACTGGTTTGTAAAGTGGATATTGTAATTTTTACGCGTGAAATAAAATATGCCAGGCTTGGTACTCAGTCAATCTTACTCTGCTTGGTACCCTCAGCCTACCAAGCCTCTTTCGTCTTGGTACCAGAGTTGTCTTGCTGGCTTGGTACCCTCTTACTATGGGTGGTATGACACTGTGTCGTATGGCACCCCAGCCTTTGGCTCAAGACTTAGCCAACTTTTATGTTTGGATACCAGGTCTGCCTTGCCAGCTTGATACCCTCTTGGCTCTATACTTAGCCAAATTTCATGCTTGGGTACCAGTCATGTCTGGTACCCTCTTAGTGCTTGGTACTCTATTGTCTGGCTACCAAGCCTGTTTTGCCGACTTGGTACCCCTTTGGCTTCATACTTAGCCAATTTTCATATATTTTGGTATCAAGCCTGCCTTGTCGGCTTGATACCCCTTTGGCTCTATACTTATCCAAATTCCATGTCATGGTACCAAGCCCTACCTTGCCAGCTTGATACACTATCATCGACCCCCTTATATGGTACCCGGTAGTTTGGCATCCCGTTGTGTCGCCTTGTTTCCAGACTTAGTTTTTGGATGACCCCCTATTTGGTACCCAGTCGTTTGGCACCCCTTTGTGCCACCTTGTTTCCAAACTTAGTTTTTGGGAGCAAAATTTCATAACAAGGGGTGGAGGCATCATTCGGCTATAGGGGCCAAGGAGACGGGCAGGCCATTGTATATGGAAGAAGGAGTTAGCCCACCTAGGCCCAAAAACCCAACCCAACAAGGCTCAACTAGCTCTTTTAATTATTAATGTTGAGCTGGCTTATAAATCCATTAAATTCCTTGTAATTAATCGATATGGTATGAGATTAATTTTTAAGTGTAAACATTCTCATTTTCAGCCAAAATGTGAAAGAGTTAACCCGTAGCAGTAGCACACCTATCTCGCACAGGGACTACTAAGTACTAACCATGGATACCACTATGAAACCTTTCATTTTGATGTAGTGATATATTTTCCTCGGTTTAACATGAAACCTTTTGAGTTCTAGACTTCTGGTTTCAAATTTGGACACACCCCAACATCTATGACATCTATAATACAAAAAACGAAAATATCCTAACACTGGCACACCCAAGTTGATTTCCATTCCAAACATTTCATTAACCACAAAAGCAAATGCAATAACTATCCTGACTATGAAATTCAGTACGACTTCAAGCCTTTAACAAAGTGAATCCACTTTCAAATCCTGATCATCCATAACAAGATTCTCCCTTCCCCTTCTCCCTTTTCCACGTTGAAGTAATAAGATTCTCTGATTTCTGGGGAGGATTTCCCTTCCTCATTTAATGTGTGCAATATGCTAGTACAGAGATGGGATAGAACGAATGTTTGGTTTGATAGGCCACCGCTAAATCTGTTAGATCAGTTTGTAAGGGATAATGTAAGATTGATTTTCTCAATAAAGCTGAAACGCAGGTTCTGATAAAAAAAAATGTTAGCACCCTAGCCTAACCGGTTGAGCAACTATCCTTTATTTATTTATTAATTATTTATGGAACATACTCCATTTTGCAAAACCCTAGTAAATGTCCAAAATGCACAAAGCAAAACTAGCGAATGGGCGATTGATTCCCTATAGAAGTATTGTTTGGACTCTCAGTTCCAATTGGTTTTTGCCACTTCCCATTCGTTCCCTTCCTTCAGGCTTCAATTGCCCCTGCCTCAGAATAGTAGTTTCCGAACGCTTCTTGTCTCCAGCGGTGTGGTCGCCGACGTTAACGGGAGTGATTCTCTGTCGATTCCTGCAAAAGAGATTGAAAAATGAGCGCGATCATTCCGATTCTGAAGAAGCCTAAAGTCGAGCAAAGCGAGGATGTAAGCGGCGGCGGCGGAGGCAGAGGTGGCGGAGGAGAAGTAGATGACGAAGAAACCACGGTTGAGGAGCAAGAATCCGCCTAGATTTGTTCCCGGCCCGTTGGCCGGATACGATATAAACAAAAAAAAATTTCGATTTGCTATTATAAAGGAATCCGGTATTAAATGATTGAAAAACTAAAATAAAAACATGAATAATAAATTTGAAATTTTTTTCACATTCCAACCGATTTATCAACTAATATCAATACCAAAAGTTAAAATAAACCGTGCAAGGGAATCAACTCCTAGGTGTTTAAATCAGACTTCGATTAGAATTACAACATTTCCTTTTTGACTTCGCGATTGCTTCGCCATTAGCATTATCATCTCTACCAAAAACAACACCTTCATCCCATTAATAACACCTATGTTTTCCATATTAATATTATATTATTGTTCTGTTGCATTTAAACGGTCGCTTCCTTCTTCTCCAAAATTCCATTAAAGTAAAATTTAATGGTAATTTTTGACAATTATGAAACATATTTTGTACGCAAGTAGATATTACCTCTTTCAAGTAATGAATATTGTCTCATATCTCGTCTTCTCGTTAATTTTTATAATTCTATCTCCAGAATTAATTCTCTATTTTCTTCTCAAAAACGTCATTATCTCCGTAAATAAATGTACTACCTCCACCATTAAACGAATCTTTCTTCTTCTATGTTTCATAGAAAGCAAGAACTTAATGGTTAAAAAATTTACAAATGTGAAACACCATATTTTCTGAAGTTAAAAAATCTTCCAAAAAGAATTTCACTATTTTTATTCTCACTAAAAATTACAATATTGTTATATGCACGATAAAATTTTCTCTAAGTAATCCCTTCAACATCTAAAGTAAATTTGATTGGGGTTGGAAATAAATGTTTTTTCTAGAAGTAAACAAAACAAATGTTGATATTTTTGTTGGGGCATGCATGTGATGATTTGTTCAGACTCCAAAAATATTGTATGGAAACTTTATCTGAGATGTTCATCGATAATTAGGTAGATCAGTATAGTTATAATATGTGATATAATTTGTATGATTTAAGTCATGTCGATTACATTCTCTCATGTCGATCATTTCAAAGAAACATGAATGCAAAAATAGAAATTTGTGGCCCTGTATTTTATATAATAAATGAACGTCTATCAAAGTATCAAATAGTCAACCTGATGCTTATTTCGGTCTACCAATTTGGTGTGAAGGTTAGACTGTTTAATCCAGGCATCACCTTTTCTATGTCCACCAATAGAAGAGAGCCATTTAACATACTCCATATACGTTTTAATTAGAATTTAGAGTGACTGATGCAGTATCAATTTTATTTCATTAGCATAATATATTTCTAGTAAGTATTTAAAAATGAAATGCTAGAACCGTAAACTAAAAGTAGGAATATGAGTATCAGGAAAAATCCAACCCCAATAATGAAATTTTTTCTCTCCAGCGAAATGAATGAGAAGAGGTAGCTAAAAGCAAAATAGAAAAAGACACATGTGTCCTCCCTTGGGATGCGCGCATGGCTCTAATTTGAGCTTAAACCCCCTTACCATGCGGAATCTCCTTATAGTAGTGTGTAGATTTAAAGCCCTAGACATCTCATCCCAAAAATATCCCTGAACATGTTTCAATTTCAGCCGTATTTGGATGACCATGCATTTTCCCCTAAATTACTTTTGGAGGTTGAGGGTTTTTTCCATCCATTTTTATAATTCTCTATTCCTGGGGAGAACAACAACCACCGCATAGAACTTGTTGCTACGTACAATATACAATCCACGCAAGCGAACACATGTATGTACTTCAAACTCAGTTCCAGAAAGAAAAGAGGAAAGAAAAGAGAAGTTGGAACAACAAAAGTCAAAGAGCGTAAATGGGGTTGACTTCCGTCTCCGAATCCGACACCCGGTCATGAGTGGAGGGCAGGCCGCCATCCCGGTGAATAATCTTGCTCTTCTCCCTCCTCCTCCTCCGGCGTATCCTCCTCGACTTCATCACATAAAACGTCATCGTTCCCAGGACTCCGGCCATGGTCACCCCTCCGATGACGGTAATCAGTATCGCCGCCCACCTGTTCCGGCGGCCGACCACAATATAGGAGGAGGAGACGAAGGCCACGGTGGTGCACACCGAGGCCAGCCACATGAGCTTGTTAATGACCTCCACCACCCGCCGCTCCGACTTGGTCTCCCCTCTGACGACGGTGATCTGCACGACGACCACCGCGAGCGAGGTGAAAAGGGCGACGGCGTTGGAGATGAAGAAGATCTTGAAGGAGGGGGAGGTGACGACCACCGCCATCCCGTTGTTGTCGTCGCCCCCGGGGACGGTGAAGATGGCGGCGAAGGCGACGGTGGCGAAGAGGACGGCGACGACGGTGACGGAGTTGGTGGCGTTGTTGATCCCTTCGCGGTGGAGGCGGCGGAGCTCCTTGGCGATGCCGTCGACGTTTTTGTTGGTCTTGCGGGTCTGCTCAAGCTGGATGTGGACTTCCTTCTTGATCTGGGTGACAGTTTTGCGGAGCTCGTCGCGGGGTTGGTTGAGGTCGTTGGCTTTGACGGCGCCGTGGCTGCAAAGGCATTCTTTGATCTCGGAGATTTCTTCCGAGAGGGGCAGGCCGTCGGCGATGTCGAGGGCGGTCTTGTGATCCCTTGTTAGTGCGTTTACGTTGGTGTCTGGTAGAAGAAGCAGCTCTTGCACGATCTGCGGGGCGAGGTAAGGTTAACATAGAGTTATGGTTAGTTTGACACAAGAAATGAAATGAAATGAAATGAAATGAAATGAAATGAAATGAAAATAGAAATGAGGAGGACCTCGACTCGCTTCTTCCTGGTGGCAACATGCAAGGCTGTGTTCCCGTGGCGGTCAGGAAGCATGACGATGGCAGCGTCGGCGCAGAGCAGCAGCCTGACAACTTGAGAGCTGAGGCCTTTGACAGCCATATGCAGCGCAGTTTGGCCTTTCTTGTCAGTCCTCCGAGCCAGCTGTGGGTCCTTGTCCAGCAAGGCTCTCACGATCTCTACGTAGCCTTGCCTGGCAGCGAGATGCAATGCGTTCTTGCCATTGGCTTTGGGGATCTCCAACAAGCTGGGATCCTTGTCCAGTAATTTCTCAACCACGCCTATGTGCCCCTTCGCTGCCGCCGATACCAAAGGACTCGCATTTGATTGCCCCACCGTCTTGCTTAATGCAGGGTCAACCTCCAGCAGCAACTCCACTATTTCTGCAGCAGCAGCAGCAGCGGTGTTGAATTCATGATGCAAGAAGATTCATATAATTGAGTCTTATATTGTGGAGGAATAGGAATAGGAATAGGAATAGGAATAGGAATAGGAATGGAGTAGCCGTAGCTAGTTAGTACCTTGATGGCCTTGACTGGCGGCGATGTGGAGAGCATCAAACCCTGCCTTGTTCTTCAGGGCAATAGCCTCTCCAGTGGTGAACTGCAACAGCTCCCTCACAATGTCAATGTGGCCCTTCTCTGCCGCCGTGAAGAGTGCCGTCTCCCCGAGCTCGTTCACCTCGTTCACCACCGCCGACCTTATCTCCGCCACCTCCGCGTCGAAATCGTGGGTGCCCATCATCTGGGCGCTGATCTCCTCAAGCATGTGGCGGACGGAGGAGAGGTCCCCCCGCTGGGCCGCCAGGTGGAGCTCTGTGTCATTGTGCCGCCCAGTCACCTGCTTCACGTACTTCTTCCTCTCGAACCGCTTCCCGGAGCTGGACAGGGCCAGGGACTTGTTCGAATTCGACACCAGCAGGGCTTTCCCTGAGTTGGACAGAACCAGAGTCCCTCTCGGCGTCGACGATGGGGACCGCCCTGGCGAAGACACGTCCGAGAACAGGTTCGGGCTCGACCGGCTAGATTTGAAGAAGAGCCCCTTCTCTAGGTCTCTCTCGCTGCCTGAAATTTGTTCCATTCCATTCATTGCACAATTAATATTTTCATTTCCTTTTTTTCTTTTCTTCTTTTCTTTGTAAGAAAAAAACAAGGGGGCCCCCTGGCAATGTTTCCTAGGAAACTTGCGGGAAATGATATCGTCGATACAATCATGTACAAGGAAACGAAAATTGATAATCAAAAAGAAAGAGGGCAGTTACTAGCTAGTTAGGAGATTGATTATATTCAAGAATTAATTAGTTACCTTCCTCGATTCTCATGATGATCGATGCGTAAACTTGAATGATTCAAGGAGGAATTTGATTTCAACGTATGGATGGCGATTTGGGCAAAACCCGTGGAGGAAGATGATGGTAATTAGGGTGACAAATCATGGGGAATTAGATTAATGTAGGAAAAAATTAATCGTGGAAGAAAGGAGGAATGGAAATGTGAAGGAAGGGAAAGCGGGGAGACTGGTGCTTAGAAGACGCCGCCGGTCTGCCGGGAACGACCACCAGGGTCACCGGAGACGAATGGAAAGTCACCAGGCTCGAGGCTCGTAATTTGGTTTGGCGAATTGGGTTGGGGTGATGCTGGTTTTGATTTTGGTGTTCAATGCCTGCTCTCTATTGTTTCCCGCCTCACGTGGCTTAAACGTCCCAAGTAAACCCCTCTCTCTCTCTCTCTCTCTCTTCTTTTGCTTTTGCGTCTCCTCCTCCTTACTTGATTCATCATTTGATTTCCTATGTCCATGCATCCTCTGATTTTCATTATCCATTCATAATTATTATAATTATATTTTTTCATTAGCTAACGATATTATTGAAGCCCCTTGGTTAAAAAATTAGGGAGTTGCTAAAGGTCGCCCTTAAAATTGCTAAAGGTCGCCCTAAAAAGAATCAAAGTTACACTTTTACCCCCTTAGCTTCTTTACCTTCCCTTTCTCAAACAAACACCACTTGAACTAAAAAAACACTATCTAAGGAGAGAAAAATCCATCATCGTCATTTTGAAGCCGATATCGTCGGAGTAGCGACTCCGACGAGGTAAATACATTAACTGAAAAACGAAAAAAAAAAAAAAAAAGGAACCGCAAATCACCTGCGGTTGGACCATGGCTGGACCGCAAATGAACTGCGGTTGGACCATGGATGGACCGCAAATCACCTGCGGTTGGACCATGGCTGGACCGCAAATGACCTGCGGTTGGACCATGGCTGGACCGCAAATCACCTGCGGTCCAGCCATGGTCCAACCGCAGGTCATTTGCGGTCCAGTCATGGTCCAACCGCAGGTGATTTGCGGTCCAGCCATGGTCCAACCGCAGGTTGACCGCGGTCAACCGCGGTCGGCACGGTTTTTTTTTTTTTTTTTTACCTTCTTCTTCTCCGACGAAGCCTTCTTCTCCGGCGAAGGCTGCTGCGCGGGTGGGATCGCGGGAGTTCGGCGCGATGGAGCGAGGTGCAGAGGGAAGGGAACGCAGGAGAATAGGTTTAGGGCTTGTTTGTTTCTTTCAATTTTGATTTTTTCATTAAGGGTATACAGGTAATTTGACATCTAAGTTAGGGCGACATTTAGCAATTTTAAGGGCGACATTTAGCAATCCAGAAAAATTATAGTTAATTAACGCGGATGGATACTCGATATTTCCGAGGATGAAACATGGGCCCTAGTTGCAGACCCAATAGTGCTTTTGGTGACTGAGTCCTGGCCTATTACTGGAAATTTGTGGCCTGAATATTGGGCCCGATTTAGCGGCCTCATAATAAGAGAAAGATTTCATGCAAAAAGGAATTCCAAATAAAACGCAGCGCCCAAGCAATGGGACCGCTAGTAAATACTCTGTTTAATACACGTACTTATACGTACTTTATTCGTTTAAAACTTTCGTATCTGTATTATTGTCAAGCCGTTTCATTAGTTGTCGTTCATTTGACGACTCCCATAATAAACACATATAAAACCCGTATAACATGTTTAATATCCGTATTTAATGAAATAAATTATTAACATTACTATTTTTTACATATTTATTTACTTATAAAAATAATTAATTTTATATATTTATGACTATTAACGTACTATTAAACGTAACATTAGCTAAGATACGAAGTATAATATCCGTACGTATTTTATATGTAACTTTTCTATAATGTATTTTACTAACTACGATGTCGATTTTGTCTTCGGCTTTTGTGGAAAAGTTGCAGTAATGGATGATGTTCGCTGCTAGCCGTGAAAACTACGGGTGGTGTCATGGACTTAACACTCATTCGTCAAAGAACTAAGCAAGCTTTAGGGATGACAATGAGTTGGGTTGGATTGGATTTTGTTAAACCTAAAGTCAAAAAGTGAAACTCAAACCCAAATCCAAATTCATGGGTTTATCCTTGAAAAAAATCAGGGGTAAAACCCAATGGGTTTGAAAAATTCAAATTCAAATTCAACCCAACCTACTCACTGGGTATTCGCGGGTTCATGGGTACCACCACAATCACTCATATTTGAGAGATTATATGGAACTAGAATACATGCATTAATTTTTTTGGAGGTCCCACCACAATCACTCATATTTGAGATATTATCAATCTCTACTTTTTGTTGAGATTTTTCACTATCACTCAAAATTGACTTTTTATTGCTTTACAACAAACCACAATCCAAACAAGATATTTTCCTAATAGATCAATTGATCAATAAATTTGATAACTCAACACATCAACTTCCAAACGACACATTACTTGCCTATTATGGCTCATTCTTCAGGGGATATTTGTAGATGATGGATATGGCTAGTAGTCGGTCAGTATCCGGTATACCAGATATCGATAACCCGATATTCAGTATACCGAAAACAGATATTGTGCCCGCCATGGTTGTCACGCCGGTGGCATGCCACCCGGTTGAACCTGGTTCAACCTGTGCCGGTCATGAAACTGGCATGACACCACCGGTATGACCGGTATGATCGACTTACGCATTTTAAGTAAAATGATATAATTTAAATGAGTTTAATGAATAAAAAAATTAATTTATTATTCATTTTATGAATGTAATAGTTAAAAGTTGATGATATTTGTTGGATTGTAACTAAATTGTCCACAAATATGTTTTATATATGATTAAATACATGAGATATTAATTGTTTTCACAATTTTTTAAACCGGCATGAACCGGCACAAACTGGTTATACCACTGGTCGTACCATTCCATTTGCCAAACCGGCACAACGGTATAAACCGGTTTGACAACCTTGGTGCCCGCCGAATAGCGATTCCGGATGTTAACCGGTATACCAGTATACCGGATGGTCGGTAACCGGGCGGTCGGGAATGGCGAGGAGGAAGTCGGCCGGTTGGGGATGGTAGGAGGAAGTCGACGTTTGAACCCTGACCCTGCTGTCGATTTCAAGAAGCGGCGGCTGGCGACGTAGCTCTCTCTGTCGGGGACTACTGCTGGTGGTGAATAGAGGAGGACGACGGAGATGTGGGGGCAGCATAGCTCTCTCCGTCGGCGACGGTTGCTGGTGCCTGGTGGTGAAGAGGAGGAAGACGGAGATGCCTGGGGAGGCTGTATCGATTTCGGCATCGGGGACTCCTGCTGGCTGCTGGTGGTGAAGAGAAGAGGAAGACGAAGATGTGAGCAAGATGCCTCGGGGCGGTGGTTGGGGCTGGGGGCGGCGAGATCGCCTTCCCCTTTCATATTGAATCAGAGGAGAATGGAGGTGGAGCTTGAGCGCAGCGTGCAGCAGGGGAAGCGACTAGCGAGGTCGATGACAATTTGGATTTAGGGTTTAGTTTACCGCAATTCCCAAATCCAATCCGTTGCATTCTTTTTATAGTTAAGTTTCAGTATTGCGGTATACTTGTATACCGTCGGTAATTACCGCTTAGTATCCGGTATTACCGAATGGAAAATTTCATGCCCGAATACGGATACCGCCGGTATTCGATATACCGGATACCGTCAGTATCCAGTACGGTATCCGGTAATACCGAATACCGGTTCACCGATTACCACTCCTGATGGACGAGGATCACTGAGATAGTCATTACGGAATAAATAACCATCGTAGACAAGGGTGAAGCCAGGATTACTTACTCAGGGGGCGAATTTTTTTTGGAAACTTGCGTATATTTTTTTGCTTTTATAGGTAGATGAAATGGGTGTAATTGCACTCTCTATACCCGTTTATTTTGAGATGTTTGTGGCATTTGAGCAACATTGCAAACAACAAGGGGAACGAACAAAAGATGATGAATTCTGAGACAAAAAGTAAGAAATTTAGGTCTTCCAACAAAACAAACCCAGAGGTTGAACTAATAAAAGATTGGCATTCGACTCACAAATGACAAAACAACACATTTTTAATCGAAGTGCAATCAATCCTTCACTACCCTAAACTTTGATTGCATATTTCCTCAATGGGAAGTACATCTCCTTTTTCTTCTCGCGCTCTGTCTTCAGAGATGCCTGCAACCAGCAATGGAGAAACAATGATCAGTCTAATCGGAGTTGGCAAAGACAACACAAGACAGAATGCAGGACATAGCATAGTAATAGCCTAATAAGCAAGGAGCTTGTACTGTTCAAGCTTCGCAGATATAATAATAGTAGTTATTATACAACACTCCACAATAAAAACAGGATCACTTCCAGTCTCCAGATAGTAGTAAGTAGTAACCTTATGTCCGTCATTAAATTCAACACTCCTCCCTAATTCACAATAGTTAACCATCGGAGTTGCAAATCCGTGAGCTTCCACCAAAAACCATGTCGCCACCACTTGTATTGCTTTCATTTCTCTGCAAATACTTGTCTATTTCTAAGCTCGTATGAAGTGAACAGCATCTTTCTAGGCTGAGCATTCTTCTACTCCTAGTGCAAAAGATATTGTGAATGACACACGCAATCACAAACATAAAATGCAAAAGTAAGAGAGCACGCACTTGGTGCTTAGTGAGGCGTCTGCGAATAGCACGGGTCTTCTTGGGACGGAGATCCAGAGGCAACAACTTCTTCTTCTTGTAAACTTCCCTCAGCGCGGCCTTCTGTTTCTGAGAAATCACTGTCAGCACCTGCGCAATCGACAATCTCACCACCTTGCTGCCAAAGAAGGGAAAGAAATCATATGAATCACGGAAAAATGAAAAGGAGAGTCGACCGGAGAGAGAATAAAAATGGTCCTTACATCTTGGAGAGCTTGTTCGGCGCACCGCCGGTGACCTTAGCGACGCGGAGGAGAGCGAGCTCGGACTTAAGCTCCTTCAACTGGTTCAAGAGCTCTGTCTTGTTCTTGTTCCTCAACTCGTGAACTTTAATCCTCGCTGATGTTGATGTATTCACCACCACACCAGAAATCGAATTAGCGGCAGGAAACAAGACAACCAACAAATCGAGCTCACTGGAAAATGCAACGGAGAAAGAAAGAAATCAGAGGTCGGAGTTGAGTTCGCTTACCCATCCTTGTGCGGCTCCGCGCTTCACTGCGGTCACTTCCAAAACCCTAGAAATTATTCCAAGGTAGAGAAGAGAAATCCGTCTGTTTTATATCTTCCTATATTAACTGGGCCGGAATGCTATGTAGAGAGCCCATTTAGCTGGGCTCATTAAGCAGCCCTTGAACATCCCAGAGCAAGAGATGCGGTGGTTGGGTTGTTTGGTTACCGTCAATCTCCACGGGTCCCTTTGTTTTTCTTTTCTTCCTTCCTCCCTTCCTGCACTCGGTGTCGGAGTTCAGACGAATTCCTAACTCTTAATTCCTAACTGCCCAAATAACTGCCATTCCCCTACGGGCAATTCCCTCCTCCTAGCCCTTAATTCTTGCAATTTCCCCTTCTTCTATTTCTAGCTCCACCGTCGGTTCGTTTCACACCGGAATCGCTCTCCGGAGCTCGGCCTGAAGAATGAAGCAGTTGCACAAACAAGCCAGCGTGAACTACCGTCGGGACGAGGAGATGCCGGCCACTCAGTACTCACCCAAGACACTCAAACACCCTAGATCCCTTCCCAGATCCATCAATTACCTCTTCCGCGAGCAGCGCCTCCTCTTCGTCCTCGTCGGGGTTCTGATCGGCTCTACTTTCTTCATCCTCCAGCCCTCTCTCTCCCGCCTCGGCCCTTCCGAGGCTCGCCCTGCCGTCACCAGTTCCTTATCCGGCTCTTCTTCTGTTGTTCAGTCCTCCAACCGCGGATCTTCGGGCATATTCCAGAGGAGGACGGTTTCCGGTCGGGTGCCTGCGGATCTCGGCCGCCGGAGGTTGAGGATTGTGGTGACCGGGGGAGCTGGATTCGTCGGCAGCCATCTCGTGGATAAGTTGATTACCCGCGGCGACGAGGTAATTGTGATTGACAATTTCTTCACGGGGAGGAAGGATAATTTGGTTCATCTGTTTGGGAACCCGAGGTTCGAGCTCATTCGTCACGACGTTGTGGAGCCTATACTGTTGGAGGTAGATCAGATCTATCACTTGGCTTGCCCTGCATCTCCGGTTCATTACAAGTACAATCCCGTCAAGACAATCATATCCTTTCTAATTAGTTATTATTATCTCGCTTATAGGCGTGTTGCGCTTTAAGCGTTCGCTTCATTTCGCTGTTGTTAATAATTTCGTGGATTTGGGATTGGGTTTTGAGATCCTTGACTGTGATTGCCTGACTTACAAGACAAATGTCATGGGGACGCTGAATATGTTGGGTTTGGCCAAGAGGGTAGGTGCCAGATTTCTGCTGACCAGTACCAGTGAGGTCTATGGAGACCCGCTTGAGCATCCACAAAAGGAGACCTATTGGGGAAATGTTAATCCAATTGGTTTGTTTCTAATTGTGACAATCAATGTATTTTTTTCTTTTTCTCTGAGAAAGGATATGGGTTGTTCATTGACTGCAAAGTTTGGTGACTGCAAATTGATTAGGTGAGAGGAGCTGTTATGATGAGGGAAAACGAACAGCAGAGACATTGACCATGGATTACCACCGAGGTGCTGGTGTTGAGGTAACTGCCGTTTTCTTTAAATATTGATAGCATTTAAGATCTGGATGCTTAACTTGCATCCAGTGTTGTTATCATAACCATTACAGAGTTGTATGGTACTGGCTTATCTTGGTCCGCTTCTTTTTGCTTTCCATGAATAGTCCTAAAAGTTAACCTTCCTGATGTGACTAGATAATTGATAATTCGATGGACCTGCCATGGAATGTTAAGAATCCTTTCCTAGTGGTTTCTTCTATTCTATTAGCAGTTGTCGTCCTTTTCAAACCAATAATTATGTCAAGCCTACTCCTCCACTCACAGCCGAGGAATGAACCTATTAATTGATAAATGTTGAAGGATGATCTCTGAGCTTTAAGTCCTAAGTAGGTTGGACATTTGCCTTCCTTCTTCAGTTTCTCACGTCATAGTAGGCGATTAAGGACAGGTGTTCTGAGTTGTTCCCATGGTAGATTTACACCATCAGTTAACTCCAATTTTGTAGTACTAAATTCACCCTCGATTCCTAACTATTTGTAGGTGCGTATTGCTCGCATTTTTAACACCTATGGACCTCGCATGTGTTTGGATGATGGACGTGTTGTCAGCAATTTTGTGGCTCAGGTTTGGCTTTCCTCTTTAGTATTAAGCACACGTGACTCCTATGTGATGCGATCTTATGTGAAACTTATATACTAAATTTACTTTTGGCAGCCAACTTATGAGTGACCTCAGTCTATGATCTTCTTATTGATTGTCAATTGTACTAAAATTGTTATTGGACTTTTTCAGGCCATCCGCAAACAACCTATGACTGTGTATGGTGATGGGAAGCAAACAAGGAGCTTCCAATATGTTTCTGACTTGGTACGACATACTGCTATCTAATACTTTCTTCCGCAAACAAGGAGCTTCCAATATGGACCGGAAGCTTGGAAATTTTCTAAAACTTGCAGAACATGTGAATGCAAAGCTGTAATTCAAAGTCAGCAGATTACATTTGACAACTCTGCTAAGCAGGGGCTAGGTGAATACGCCTTGGATACCGCTCAGTGACAGGAAATCAAAGCCTTAAGGATTGTCATGCAGTTAGCCAATCTTAGGTTTAACATGAACAAGCAGTCATCTTCTGATGCGTATATGCCAAATTGGTGGTTAGCTAGACGGAAAAGAATTGCATTGCAAGTGAAGATTGCCCCTAAGTTGTCTCTAACTTAATAGACTACAAATTATGGGCTTTGTGAGGAGAGGGAGCTGTCATGCTAACTGTCAATGTTTCAGACTTACTATGGAGTGAGTTAGAAAGTTCTATCGGATGAGTGACCCTAACATACGAGGACTAGTTGCCCACAGTGTTTGCAAACATTAGTGAGGGAGGGACAACTGTGTGAAAGTCTCAGTAGTGCATCGTCGGCGCAATTGAGTGGAGCAGTTGTGTGTTACTGTCAAAGGAGCTTTGAGATTGTAGTCAGCTCCTTACAGATGCTCCTTTGAATGACAGGTGGAGGGATTGGTAGCACTGATGGAAGGTGAGCATGTTGGTCCATTCAATCTTGGGAATCCAGGAGAGTTCACCATGCTTGAGCTTGCTGAGGTTTGGCCCCTGACATGGGCTTGTGGATTTATTTTCCCTTTCTGAATAGGATGAGATGTAAAGTGTTGCTTCCTGTTGTGCTTATGCTGACTTGCACTTTGGTTAATGATGAAGGTGGTGAAAGCAGTAATTGATCCAAGTGCAACAATAGAGTTCAGGCCAAACACTGCAGATGATCCGCACAAGAGGAAACCGGACATTGCAAGAGCAAAAGAACTGCTGAACTGGGAGCCTAAAATCTCACTGAAAGATGGGTTGCCACTCATGGTGAGCGACTTCAGGAATCGCATTCTGAACGAGGACGAAGGGAAAGGGCTTTAAGGAAGTTATAATCGTGGCAGGCACCGGAAACTATTATGTACAGTGTTAAAGAAAGAAGGGCAAGGCTGTAGCTTGATTTAATCCAGTCTCGTCATCCACAGTTGCTCTCTCTTTATCCCTCTGGCCTTAATTATGGGTGAATCCAGATAGCAAGTTTATCTGGAAACCACATCGTTTCTCGTTTCCAGGTTAATCTTCCTCTATTCTTTGATTCTTTGTTGTTCTTTCTTCGTTTATATTGCTTGCTTGCTTGCAGTATGGAACCGAACTGGAGACTTCAGGTTTGTTGCGAGTGCCAAGAAGGCTCCTGTTTTTTGTTAGGTTTGTTGAGCGGAGAGTTGATTTTGTTTGTTGCCATGGTAATTTTGAGATGTACAAGTACACCAGAAAGAGCTTGCTTTATGTTTCCGAATCAGATTAATATAATTTCTGTCGCGCTCTATTGGTGCCAAGTTCCTGACGCTATAGCGTGTACTATGTTTCCGAATCAGATTAATATAATATCTGTCGCGCTCTATTGGTGCCAAGTTCCTGACGGTATAGCGTAGCGTGAGCTTTATTAAGTAAATGATGAATGATTAATACTCCAGCCGAAGAACGAATAATGCTAGTTAGTTGCGGCCCCTGAATTCTGATACTTATTTCAAAATTTACAAAAATTTACATTTTATTATTTTAGTACCTAAACTTTTCAAAATTTACATTTTGGTCCAAAGAGTGGATGTCATTCGAATCAGTGGATCAATCCATGCATCCATATGATCCAATCCATTTAATCCAATCCACTTGATCCATGAATCTATCAATGCAATCCATCAATCCATTGATCCAATTCATTTGTCACCTCTAATTGTTACCCTTCTCGATAGCCGACCACCCTAGTGTCCCTCCTAACTCCCATCCCATTCCATTGCAGAATTCACAAAGGTTTCCAAATGGTTATTAGCGTGAAGAGGTAGAGAATAGGGATGGCAATGGGTCGGATTTTGCCAAACCCAAATCCAAACTCATGGGATTATCCGTTAAAAAAAAAAACAGCGGTAAAACACACAGGGTTTGGAAAACTCAAACCCAACCCAACCAGCTGCGTATCAGCGGGTTCATGGGTACCCATGAGTTTTTGTGGTAAAAAATTTAATAACAAGTTCCTACCAAAATATAATTCAAACATAAATTTCCCCATACAAATTATCCATACATGAAATAAAACACCATTCTAGAAAATTCAAACATATCACAATTACACTAAAAAAATCACACGGAATAAGTGTAATGATAGTTAGATTGGAGGAAATTAGAATTAGAGTAGGGTTTGGGGAGAGTAGGGCGACGAAATAAGTGTGGGAGGGTATCCATGAGTCGGGTACCCCTAAATCCAAACCCAACCCAACTCGGTGAATAGTGTACGAGTTTAAACCCAAACCTGGCCCGAAATCCGTCAACGCGAGTAAAACCCGCGTCGACAAGGTTGGGTCGGGTAGGGTACCCGTGGATTCGGGTTTTTTTTGCCATCCCTAGTGGAGAAAGCCATTTCTAAGGTGGGCAATGGGAAATGGGTATTTGGATATGTCTATATCCGTCCACTTTTTTTAGGGTTACAGGTACCTAAATATCGGTAATTTTTTTTACGGGATGGGACTTGAGATCAAAATGTTCTATAATAGGTACCCACGGGTAGGGGGCAAATGGGCTAAGCCGCTCGCGAGAAATTCGGCGTTCGAATCGGAAAAAACTCGTTCGACACTTGGCTCGTTAATAAACGAGCCAAGCTTGAGCTAGACCATGCTCAACTTGATAAGCTTGTGAGCTAAGCTCGTGAGCTAGCTTGACTCGATGGCTAGTTGAGCTATGCTCACGAGTTGGCTTGTTTAGAGCTTGTGGAAGGATTAATTACTCTTATGAACATGAACATTATCTTGTTAATACGGATGTGTGTGGAATTTAGCTGTTATTTTTAGTTTCTAGTGTTCTTTTTATCATTTAAATTCTTATTTTATACACATTTTTTCAGCAAGAATGATTTCAAATTGAGCTCATCTTGAGCCGAGCTTGTATTCAACTTAACAAGCTTTGTTAATGAGCATTTATCGAGCTCTACCGAGCCGAGCTCGAGCTGGATGATTTTTAATCGAACCGAGCTCAAGCTAAGCAAAAACTCGACTCGACTCGGCTCCTTTGCAGTTACCCGTTAATACCTGTTTGGGTATTATGGGTACCTACCCATTGCATAGCCAATGGGCCGAGCCCAGAGCCACTCTCTTCCTCACGGCCCAGTCCAGCCCCTTAATCCTGGCTTTAGCTCCCTTAGTCGGTGCGCCACACTGAGATTCCTCATGTAGGGGTATGCCAAAATCCGCTCCATTGTTATGGTGCAGAATCTAATGAGGTAGAGAAGGTTTTGGTGGACAGCGACGCTAATGAGCTGGACGTCCCTCTGGAAAGCGCCTTCTCCACCGGGACTGCAGTTGTCGAAGAGGCACTTCATAGTGAATTTAAGGTTTTTGTCGTGGTGGGAGAGGATGCCTTTGTACACTTTCCCGAACCCTCCCTACGCGATGATTTTGTTGTCACTGACGTTGTTGGCCGCCACCTGGATATCTCGGAGGGAGAATCTCCGTAGCTGTGCGAAGCAACAGATTTTGCGCTCGTCCTCGCCTATGGAGTAAATTATTATGAGTTACCAGCAGGTACCCGTTAACCCGTATGAGTTTGGGACATGGAATGGAGTTCCATCTCCAAATTGGACTGGGTTCCCATTTCAAATTGGACGAGTACCCAGTCTCGTCTTGTTGCCCACCCCTAGCCAAACCCCTTCTTTATTCAATGGAAGAAAGCTCTAAGGGCCCTTTTCTATTTCAGATGATTTTCCTCAGTAGTTGGGAACTGATCCTATGTATAATTCATGTTTACTATTTATGAAATAATATTAACTTTTACATCAATTTAATTTATGAGTTATATCTCATTCCCATTAAGTTGTAGTTGAAATAATTTTACACAGATAAATCAGATTAATTGTGCTATACAACATGACATCCAGTTTGATATATTTTGGAACAAAAAAAATTGATGGATTGTTCAGACGAAACATTTCGATGGGGTATTGGCTCAAAATAACTTCGTGGGGATTTTGTAGAGGTCATTATACAGGTTGATCGGTCGAAAGTCGGAGATGAATTACGATTGACGCTTATTTGGTATCATCACAATGAGGGTTTCATTCATGTATGCAATTTTAAACGGGTTACTGAAATAGTGTGAAACATTATTAGTAACATCACAACCCATGATATTCCAACATTTCTGGTAAAACACAAGTGGGATAGTTAGAAGCCATCTTTCCAAGGGGCCTTGAGCAGGCTTATAGATATGATTGCACCCCAGAATTCCTCCGCCATGATCGTAGCTGAAAGACTATAAGCGCTGCATTCTACATAATTAAAACGAGCCACCACATCATCTGTAGTGTGGCCAGCGGCGGGGTATATTTCAAGGTAGAAAGCTCGTGCCATCCATTTCATCTCTTTATTATCCGTCGTCCATTCTCTTGCAGAGTTATAAGGAGTAGTATTAGTCTTGTTATACCGAGAGCTTTTTATGGTTGAGAGGTGGAAGAATCACGTGTTCCTGCCGCCCTCCTTAAACCACTTCACTCTGAGTACCACAATAGCTGCTCTTGAAAGAGGATCTTCTCCAATTCTGATACGAGCACGGAACCGGCACCCGTAGTTATCAAAGTCACGTAGCTTCAAGAATGAACAAGAAAAGGGATTTTTAGGGTTTTTGTTTGGGATAGGATGAAATTGAAAGTGTAATCTTAGCACAAAGATGGGAGAAGGCTCTAACAATAAAAATGATAGAATCTCGACCACAATCAAGGTAAAAACTTGATTGATACAGAGAAAAATTCACAATCCTAAAGCTCAATGAACCAAGATAAAATCAATATTCTTCTAAAACTAACTCAAAAAATCGTTTTAAGCAAGACAAAACAAACTAAACCAAACACTAAAAAGGAAATTTTAACTTTGTCCAGGCCCGATCCCCGGTCGACCTTTTTAGATCCTCGATCGGGGGTTCTTGCCCACCGACCTCTTCTACCTCCACTCCCTGGTCGCCGCCTCAAGATCCCCGGTAGGGATTTGGTTGCTCTGGTCGGGGAATGCCATCGAGAATAGGGGTGGTAGTTCGATTTTCGGTTACCGGTTAACTGACCGGTTAAACCAATAACCACCAGTTAACCGATAACCGAAAATCATAAGCATTGGTCGGTGTTTGGTAGAGAGAGTTTTAGCTTTGGTTAACCGAGTAACCAAAACCGGTTAATCGGCTAACCGAAGCTAACCGACCGATATCTATACGACGTTGTTTCCCACCAAAATGGTGTCGTTTCAATAATGAAAAAGTAAAATAAAAAGATAATAAAACTCCCCTAATCCTACCTGTTTGTCGACCTTACCCTCACCACTCACCCTCTACCCCCACCGCCCTCCACCCTCCTACAAACACAACAACAAAAAAATCACCAAACCCTTAAACCCCAAGCTGCCGCCAGCCAGCACCAAACCATCACCGTAGTTAGACCACCGCCTCCACCGTTTTTGACATGAGTTTCTAAAGCTTCTCATCGTCCCTTAGAACTTCAAGGTCGGAAGCTAGCTAAAGGTGTTGTCTTCAGGTAAATCTCTCACCGACCCCTCCCTCGCCACCCCCTGGCTCTTGCAAGGTTCTAACCCCCGAGACCCCCGTCGACCTCCCAGATCAAGCAACCACCGCCGTTGCCATACCCCTCCAGCTCCAGCAACCCCCCGTCGACATAAATCAACCCCCGCCATCTGCTCATCTCCCTCCCCTGAGACCTCGCCGACCCTCACCTCCCAGAATTTTGTTTACATCGGATAACTGAGCCACTAACCGGTAACCGATCGGTCGGTGGTCGGTTAACCGACCATCTCCTCTCAGTCGGTGTTTGGTAGCTAGAAGAGGTGGTTCGGTTTACTGATAACCGAACTTTCAGTTTTTGGTCATAACCGAACCGACCGAACTACACCCCTAATCGAGAATAACATCAGTCCCTCCCCGTTGGATAAGTTTTGCCCTCAAAACTAGTGTTTTCCTGCAAGAGACAACATCAATAGAATATCTCATCAAACTCCTTCTTAGAGCAGTCAACATGTGTCTTCAAGCCATAAGATTGGTTCCCATTTCGTCCTCCGACTTCGTGCCACTTGCATGTCCTTTCTCCTTTGCCCAAGTCATCTCCATCTGCTGTTGATCTTCATGGACTTCAGTTGGCGACAATGGCTTGAGCAGAAACTTTCGATCTCCTTGCTTGAACTGGTAGCTATTGTTTCTGTCATCATGAATAACCTCTTCGTCATATTTCCATGGACAACCCAATAAGAGATGATCAGCCTGCATTGGAGCAACATCACACTGGAGTTCATTGTCATACTCACCTTTTCCTTCTTGTTGACTTTGATGGCTCCATA